GTCATCTTATTTAATGGAAGAGTATCATTCTAAATTCTAACTGAGTTTGATTCCTCTTTTGGTACGATTCGGATTATTCGCTTTGGTTACGATTTTTTGACTGTTCTTTTTGAAAGCTGGTTTTTTACGAATCACTTTTGCTACGCATGTCAGTGACTTTCGTGTGTTCTTAATTATATATAATTTGGTTTATTGAACTTGAAATATGAAGTTGTCTTTATCTTCCTCGTATCTGAATGGGGCTTGTTTTGTTGTTTTTTGGAGCATTATAGGTCCATTTCACTTTCATTAAATTTTTGGGTTGTAGCTACCCTAAAAAATTAATGATTTGAATTTGCATTAATTTTGATGGGAAAACCACGCCCATAATGCACATGGTTGTTTACATCCCCCACGCCCTTCCCTGTGAAAATGACTATTTGATGCGGCGGCTGAGGTGGGACTTCCCAAAACTTTTCCGTGCTGTGTGAGGGAATGTACGTTCTCCAAGTCAATGCCACTTCCTCAATGCATTTGTCTCTGCTTCCCTAGGTTGGCTTTTCTTATGGATAAAGTAGGCCTCTATCTGATAAAATCTACTTTCCACGGTGACGAAGTCCACTCTCACGTTTTTGTGATCCTCGGCGCGTCGGGCGATCTAGCGCGTAAGAAGATCTACCCTACATTGTGGTGGCTCTACCGTGATCGTCTCCTACCGAAAAAAACTTTCTTCATTGGCTATGCGCGTTCTGATATCACTGTCGATACAATAAGGGAGAAGTCGACTCCTTATATGAAGGTGAATTTTAACGATTCTTGGGAATTATATTCCTATTTTTATAGGTAAACACTGACAAGTCGGAGGAGCTTCAATGTTTTAATAATTTTTGGAAAGACAACACGTACCTGAGGGGTAGCTATACAGAAACCAAGGACTTTGAAGCACTTGATAGAACTATTGTATCAAACTATGGTCAGCTGGTGAACCGGATCTTTTATCTTGCCCTACCTCCCTCAACCTACATGTCTGTATCGTCACACTTGGCGGAGTGCTGCAAAAGTCAACAGTATGAGTCCTTTCTTCTAAGCACCAATTTATGATTTCAAATTTTCGAAAGCTTAGTGTTCTTTGCACTTTAGTTTCAGCTCCCACGTTTACCTACTTTTAGGTGCTTAACACTATAAAACGTATTTGGTCTGCCGCATGCATCCGAGTCAGACCATCGATGCTAACTTGGGCTACATTACCGTGCCCGAAATCAATGTAATCTTTTTAAGTCCCTTATTAAACTAGGAATAGTGATCCACTGCCACTTACCGCAGTAATACTTTTTCGCTTCTGCATTCATTAAGATCTTTTCCTTTACAATCGTTCGGAGCAGCTGTCCCAATTTGTTGCCGATCATTAAGTAAATGATCACAATTTATCGGGAAATCCGAGCATTTACTCCAGCTCGTGCAGTCCAAGTGTACGCTTTTGTCGACAGAAAAACTGAAGTTCTGCCGATCTTTAAGCCTATCATTCTAGACCTAATTCTTCTAGCGGTACTTGATGCCAGCTCCAAATAGGTCTCATCGGAAGGCTTTAAACTTGTTCGTGGATATTATTAGCTCTAGGAACAACACTTCATATATGAAACGAACCTCTGAAGTTTGCTGCATTGGTGGAGAATAATCGCCATAACCGTATATATTTTAAACAATGAGATGGTAGTTTCCTTGAGATCTGGTGAATTATTGCAACTTGCGAATTCGAGTGGTTTTTATTTCTTAAGTTTTATGTGCGAAATTCGAAAGCTGCCGTTTGAGCTGGAGTCTTTTTGCCCATTATCCTGTTATATGAGAAAAGCGAAATCATTTAGGCAACTTTTCTGCTGCATAGCGATGTATTAGCTTTGAACCACAATCAGAATCTGATCTTAGTTGCATAAGTTATTCGCATCCGTAGCACCTTTTACCTTTGCTCATCCCAGCCCCGATGTTTGGACTCGCTTAATCATCGAGAAGCCCTTCGGACGAGATTTGGAGTCCGCTCGCAAGCTCTCCAACCACCTGGCTGGGCTATTCCAAGAACAGCAGATCTTTCGCATTGACCACTATCTTGGCAAGGAGATGGTGCAAAATTTACTCATTCTGAGGTTTGCCCCTCTTTTCTTCGGCTTATTCTTGTCGAGGGCAACGAAACATCGACAAGTTGACCCGTTTGCCCTGTTGTCCCTTGAAAAACCTAACACAGATGTAGCTACTTTGATTTGATGCCTTCTGTGCACGATTTAATAAGTGGTATCTGAGGCTTCATAACGTTTATTAACAAACCTACGTATTGCTTTCTAACCAATGGAGATCAGCACTATTTGGTAATAGCTAGACCATAATCAAAAGATGCCGTAGATGGCTTACATCTTCACGAGCAGGCTTTGTTGGGAACTGAATACCAGTGCTGTCCTACTGTTTTTCTATTTTTAAGAAGATTCAGATATCAAAACAAAGTTGTTACTGTTTAGCACCTTTCTGCTTGCTAACGTTCTCAAAGCAGATTTGATTGCTATTTAACCGATTAGGCGCCCATTTGTCAGCTTCACTGC